TTTCTTAAAACTTTTTCCTAATAAGGCCCGGTGAAAGTCCTGTGTCCATTGAGAAAAAACAAGACTACCTCTTTGGTAAGCTATAAAACAGTTCCAATAACCTTCTGAGCTGATCTCTCTGCCTTGAATTTAATTGGCCCAGCAGATGCCCTCTGTAGTTCCTGTTTTGATTGGCTTTGGCTCTCTGAATCATATTGATAAATCTGTAACTCATCCCTGGTTACAATTTATTCCATAAAAGCATCTTTGTTAGTTTTGAACTTTCGTCAAAATTTGCTTCAAGAAAAATACTTAAATTTAAAAAAAAAGTTGGCCAATGGTTACCATGGGTGAAGGAGGAAGAGTTTTTGCTTAGGGAGCACTGAGTTTAAGTTAATGGTGGTCAAATAACTTGGAAAAGGACATCAATAATGGTTGCATACACCAAGAGTATAATCAATGACACTGAATTATACCTGTAGAAGTTGAGTTAGAGAATGTTTTGTTGTGAATATTCCTGACACAATTAAAATAATAATAATTACACTAATAACAATGAGTACAAGGAAGAAGAAAATGATCTATTGATTGTGGTAATAATTGTACAACTCTTGAAAGTTTCTGAGCAGGGTCAAGGCCTAACAAAATTGTTGTTTTCATTTCAACCCCTCCTGCAAATAGTTGTCTAGACTCTTCTCTAACACCTCCAGTGACAAAAGATGCAATGTACTATGTTCGGAAGCAGTCTATTCCATTTTCACACAACTTTAGTCATTAGCTCTTTGCTTCCTTACATTGAGCTGAAATCTGCCTTGGGTGACAGAACAAATCTAATCCCCTCTCCACATGACAGGGTGATGCAATTAACTGGGAGTATGGGGGGGGGGTGTCCATTTTGAACATGTAGCTCATTTGAAGCCCTAGGAAGGTAAACTTTATATGTACATGCCCAACAGGTAGTTGATGTACAGGTCTACAGTTGACTACAAAGATCAGAGATGCCATTTATAGGGCAGTATTTGCAGCTATGAAAATCAATGGCATTGCCATTAAGGGCCAGGGCTAATGAAAGTTAAGGAAGAATGGCCAGTGAAAGCCTTTAAAAGAAGAAAAGTAGGTAATTTGTGGAAACAAATGTGGTGAGGAGGTCACATCACAGTCAGAGAACCAAGGAACCAACTAAGAGGGGCTGGACTTTTGCTCCTCGAGGCTACTGAAAGAGACAATTTGAAAAAGTAGCAGTAGCAATTATGATCTGAGTATCCTAACACTGCCCAACCTGTGTTTTAGTGCCTGAAAATGTTGAGGAGGGTTTCTCCAAATAAGGGTTCTGCAAGCCTCTCCTTTGGAGAAGCATTACCTGGAGTATCCATCCTCCTGTTGGTTCTGAAAATCCTACAATAAAGAAACGTATTTGTCTCTTTAACTCTGCATTGTCCAACTTGCTAAAGCACAAAGCTGCTAATTTGGCAAATGCAGAGATCAGGAGAGAGAGAAGACAACAGTTTATTGATGCCATTTTTCTCCCTTTTCTTTTTAAGAATGGAAGAAACGTGTGTGTTTATATGCTGAAGAAAAGTAACCAATGTCAAGTGAAAGGCCAAAATCAGTAATGAAAGGGAAGAAAGAAAGCCAGAAGAAAGAAAGTCTAGTAATTGGCTCACTGGTTAAGTCTAGTGATCACAAATGTAACCTATTCTAGTTTAGAATACTTTTATATTCTATTTATATCATATACATATAAGTTATATATAAATGTAAGGGTTTATATTTATCTTCCTCAGAAGATACAGATATTATCTAGACATGGTTAAGGGTAGTTTATTGAGAAACCATTTTCATTCTCCTGAAGTCCAAATTAGTGGGTCCGTGGAGTTGGGGTGACCCACCCAGGCCATTTGCCCTTAGGTTTCCTTTTGAACCTTGAGCCTTAATGAGCAATATCCTCATCATAAGCAGTTTAGAGACCTGTTCCACTTTAGGTATTGAGTTCTTCTGAAGAATCATCTATGAACAATCAATTTCAAGAAGCAGGAACTCCAGGGTGTAACAGGAACTTGGCATGACCCTACTTTGACTGGCCCTGTGAAACCAACATGGAAGGAATTTACAAAGAGCCTCAGGAGATGGCCCTTCCGGACCTCACTTTTATCTTCCTTTCTCTTCAAGTGCTGTCCCAACACTCTCTGATTTAAATCATATCTACTCATAATACATCTATTCTTTTTGTTGTTGTTGGTTTGGTTTTTGTTGTTGTTGTTTGTTTATTTTATCTTATTTTTATTTTTTTAAAACATTTCATTAGGGGCTCCTACAACTGTTATCGCAATCCACACACATCAATTGTGTAAAGCGCATTTGTACATCATTCTCAAAACATTTTCTCTCCACTTAAACCCCCGACATTAGGTCCTCATTTTTCCCCTCCCTCCCCGCTCCCCCCTCCCTCATGAGCCCTTGATAGTTTATAAATGGGTATTTTGTCATATCCTGCCCTGTCCAACGTCTCCCTTCACCCACTTTTCGGTTGTCTGTAAATCTATTCTTACACTAATTTTTGGTCTTTCTCTGCACATTTAGGTTTTTGATATTATATAGATTGATTCACTGGTAATAGTCATGATCTCCACCTTTCTCTCTTCAAAGTGAGGCCTCGACCAGAGAAAGGTGCTCCAATAGGGAGCTCACCGTTTTATTCCCTCTACTCAGGCAGAGGGAGAACTCTAGTGCAGGATAGGCATAGGAGGGGAATCTAAAAATAAAACTCAGTGGAGAAGTTGTCTTGCCTAAAGAGCAGCTTCCCACGCACTCTGGAGTGCCACATCTGAGGGGCTGGAAGCACAAGAATGGAACCAGCCTGACCAAATCACGTAAGGAGTATCCTTTCTCAGGGGAGGACAGCATATTTATAACTGCCCCCATTAGCGCCTCCGTGTCTAGGCTGTAGACCTGAGGCACGGGCATAGTGACAGAAGGAGGGTTTGATTTTCAGCCTTCCCACCATTTTCATTCCTTCCAGGCATGAGATGAGTGCAGCCAACAGGAAGCTGCTCTTGCCACACCAGGACATGAGCGGAGGGTTCATTGTGGCAAAGAGCAGGAAGAGCTTGAGTGGTCTTCAGGCTCAAAGATGGGCTCCTTTAGCTCCCTACTCCTAAAGCAGCAGTTCTCAACCTGTGGGTCGGGACCCCTTTGGGGAGTCAAACGACCCTTTCACAGGGGTCACCAAAGACCTTTGGAAAACTCATATTTCAGATGGGCTCAGGAACCGACACATCACTCCTCTATCCATCTCCGGAGCGGTCCACCCACGTGCAGATACGCCCACATATGAATACCTGGTGTAAAGACTGTTACCCATGCTACACCATGCTTCAAGACAAAATCTGATTGATTTGTAATTAGAAATAAATATTTCACAATACATCATTATATATTGTTTTGTGATTAATCACTATGCTTTAATTATGTTCAACTTGTAACAATGAAAATACATCCTGCATATCAGATATTTACATGATGATTCATAACAGTAGCAAAATGACAGGAAGTAGCAATGAAAATAATTTTATGTTTGGGGGTCACCACAACATGAGAAACTGTCTTAAAGTTCCTTAAACTGCATTACGAAGGTTGAGAACCACTGTCCTAAAGAGTCAGAGGCAACCAAAGGAGAGAAAGAAAACCAAGCATTGTGAAAAAACTGCAATTAGCATTAACAATGGTTCACTATCATCTCACACTCAACAGAGCAGTTGTTACATTGCCAGGCAACTAGCAAATGTAGCCTCCCCTCCACCAGCAGGTTTCATAGACCACAAAGCCTGCTGAAGTTCAGCTCAAGAGTTTGATGCAACTCTGCGTATAAGCACACAGCATTAGTTCTGCCTCAGAGGAGTAATCCCACCATCTCTTTCTCTAAGGATCTTAACTTAGGAGATATACAAGGGGGACCTACAAGGGCTGGAGATATTTCAACATTTCACAAGAAAAGTCCTTATCTTTTAATTGCCCCCTCATATAATATGCTTACATAAGATAGCTGGAGTTCAGCCAAAAAGCCAAGGCAGGAAGTGGGGAGGGGGCAAATAAAATGCAAACTTGTTGCTGACAAGTTGATTCTGACTGATAGGGATCTTATAGGACAGGGTAGAACTGCTCCCATGGGGTTTCGAAGGCTGTTAGTCTTTACTGATGCAGACTGCCACATCGTTCTCCCCGTGGAATAACTAGTGGATTCGAACTGCTGAGCTTTTTTGGTCATTGTGCCACTGGGGATTCAGGAGAGAGAGGGATACTATCTCTAACTCTACAAGGAGTCCGTAGTGTTGAAGTAGCAGTCCAGATCCCCAGAAGGGTGGTATTTCAACCCGACGAAGTATTACACGATGCCTCAAGATTCAGAAGCTCAGCCTTAGACAATATCTCAGAACATGCTTTCAGCAGCAACAGGAAATATATTTGATATTATACACCTGCTCCAGTCCTAAGATTCCTAGATATAGCAAACCCGTAGAGGAGGAGAGGAATGAACGCACAATTAAAATAAAAAACAAACAGACTGCAGCAACATGTCAGTTCTTTGGTCTCTTTAAGTTTTGTCATCCTGTACCAGAACTCAGTGATAGTTGATACGCTCAGATACAAATCCTTATATCTACATTAGGCATATGTGGAAAGGGAAAGGGGGCTCCAAGTTTCCCCTCAAGTCACAGATTGTGAGCAAATACTTTGAACATTTGAGCACTATTTGAATGCTGACTAGCAACAACCACCCAACAATATTTTATAATTAGAACAAACTGAAATTTTCCTGTACTGAGTCATTCACGAGAAAAAAAGGGTGGAGATACCGACCATAAAATACATAACTTGAGCACACAGTGAGAAGTGGAATGGTTTGGTTTGGTTTTTCCACCCTGGGAGTCCACACTCCCTACCCCACTAGTTAAACACCAAGGGCTGGGTTGGCACAGAGGTCCCTGTTCCAGCACAGTCTGGTGTTCAGCAATTCGGCTTACCTGACATACAGAGACCTCTTCTCGCTTGTTCGGAGGGACCCAGACCCAGAGCTCATGCTGCTGTTCATCATTTGTTCTCTCAAGTCGTGTATCTTCGATTCAAAGCGACTATACTCTGTCAGAGAGACAAGAGAAGGAAGGGGAAAGAATGAATCCAGCCTGCATGCCAGCAGCCAAAAAGCAGAGGGATTTGGGTTCAAAGCAGCCAGTTAACCTTTGCTTTGCTCGAAGGCCAGAGAAACAGACTTCCCTCCATGCCCAGACAAATAGAGGGAAAGAGTGCACCTAAGAAAGGAATAGCATTTGGGCATGTCAAATGGAAAAACCTTTTATCGGCTTAGAAATCTCACTGATCCTTAAAACACAATTAGAGAGGGGTCCCAGATTGACCTTTATAAATCTTTAGAGTAGGCACTACGGCCCAAGGAGAACAGATGGGAAAGGCAACTTTCCAAAAAAACAGGTTTCAGAGAACAGATGGCTCTGGGATAGAGAGTAGAGAGGCTGGAAAGGGCCTGTGGCTATTATTTCATTCCTAAATTAGGAAGGAGGCAGGGAGTTCTTCCTGGATGATTTTTTTTTTTTTTTTTTTGGTGAGGGGAGACTGCGACCCAGTACACAAAGGTAAAAAGGAACAAAACAAAAAATCCTAAGAGAAGTTAAATCTCTCCTGGATTATTTCGCTTTTAACAAGCAGCAGTCTTTCACATCAATAGCAATTAAGCACTACAAGATATTTAAATATGGAACAAATCTCAAAATTATAAGAGACCACGTTTACTGATCAGATGGAGACAAGTTGGACTCCCAAGCCCTTCAGGTATGGAAGTGAACTCACACCCCTGTGGTAGAATAATCAACCACTTAAGACTCACAGGGACCCTATAGGACAGCAGTTCTCAACCTGTGGGTTGCGACCCCTTTGGGGGGTGGTGGTGAAAGACCATTTCACAGGGGTTGCCCGATTCATAACAGTATCAAAATTACAGTTATGATGTAGCAACGAAAATAATTTTATGGTTTGGGGGGGTCACAACATGAGGAACTGTATGAAAGGGTCGCAGCATTAAGAAAGGTTGAGAACCACCGCTATAGGACAAGGGTAGAACTGCCTCTGTGAGTCTCTGAGCCTAAAAATCCTCATAGGAGCAGAAAGCTTCATCATTCCCTTGCCTCCGCTCTGCTCGCTCTGACTGGTGATTTCAAACTACTGACCTGGCAGTTAGCAGCCCAATGTGAAACCACCACACAATGATAGTGTCATTAGTTTAGCCAATGGTAGAGAATTTAAAACACTGTTGAGAAAGGGAAATTATACAAGTACAGGTCAACCATGACCCACAACACATTGTTGACTTGCACAGATTAAACTCTTAAATGACTGGACACTATCTACACAATGAGGTTTGGTGATAGGGCAAATCTCCCAATAGTATTAATTCACAGTAGCAGAGCCACGCCTACCAATTTATGACATGTCTAGTTTTTAATAGTTCCAGCATTCTTTTCATTAAGGTTTTTTATCTATTTTACTTTGTCATTCTTGCTAGTTTATTTGTTTACTAATGATTTCCTGCATATGAACTCCAGGATAGGTAAATCTATAGAGAAAACAACTGCATTAATGGCTCCTTGGGAGTATGGCAGGGGAGGTTGGAGGGAAAGGGGGAGCTAATCATGATGACAAGAATGAAGAGCTTGTTCTAAAACTGATTGTGGTGATACTGTACAACTCTTCTTGATGTGATTAGGTGATTGAATTGTATGATATGTGAATTATATGCCAATAAAACTAAAGGACTAAAAGGGCAGCATTCATCCAAGGGCAAAGTGCAGAGGGCTAGGAAAAGTGGAAGAATGCAAACAGGAAACCCAGGAGGAAAGTATAAGTGATGGTATACTGAGGGGACTGCAATGAATTAGTCGAAACCAAATGTGTATGAACTCTTGAATGTGCAGAAGACTGTTGGTCTGCTCTGTAAACCTTCACCTAATCCACAAAGCTTTAAAAAAACCACCAAATTATCTCCTCTCTAGGGAAACTGATACCCCTTTCCTCCAAAATCATGCCGTTAATGGGATTATAAATTCACATCCAGTTTTGTATCCCTTAAGGCCATCACAACAGCCTGAAAATTTTATTCTAGAAACAATCTAGTATGTGCCCAATTTAAGAAAACATGATATAGGAAAGTTAACTAGAGTTGTATAATTATTACCAAAGTCTTAGAGCTCCTTTGATCTGAGATTTTCCTAGTCCATTGACCATCCACATCCATTTAACATCCAATATCTAGTGCATACACATTTTTGAGGATTATAGTTATTGCATAAAGTGGAAGATATCTATGGCACAGGCTATGGAACTAAGAACAACTGGCATACTCCACTATGAAAAGCTGATTGGAGTTTTTTTTCCTCTTTAAAAGATGTTTCAATACTGATCAGATACAAAATAAAGAAAACCTTATCTATCACAAACATACACTATGTACAGCAATAAATACCGGAGGCGGGGGGGACTGGCACACACCACCTCTCTTTGGCTATTTAGCAATAAATATTGCACAGGGCAGGTGGGGCTCTGGTTGGCCACTGTACCTACCCTGTCCTATTGCCCAAAGTTGCCAGGAGGAGATTTTTGAACCCACTCCTGTTTGGTTAAAGCAGTGGTTCTCAACCTTCCTAATGCCGTGACCCTTTAATAAAGTTCCTCATGTTGTGGCAATGCCCAACCATAAAATTATTTTCGTTGCTACTCCATAACTGTAATTTTGCTGGTATGAATCGGGCAACCTCTGTGAAATGGTTGTTCAACCCCCAAAGGGGTTGCGACCCACAGGTTGAGAACTGCTGGGTTAAAGGCTTCTGGGACTAAGCAAGGGTGGGGGACAGGAAGTGGTGGTGGCCAAAGCCAATGGGGTCACCTGAAACAGGGAGATCTCAGCCCCCGGACTTGACCACAGGATGCCCTCTCACGGAAGAAAGACTGATTCTTTTAAAGAAAGTAAAAAACCATTCTAGGGGTTAAAGATTAGAAAAATTGCTTTGATAAAAAACAAACACATTTCTTGAGGTGGAGGGACACATGTCCACAAAAGCACTTTCATACATCATAAAGGACTGACAAGAAGCAGCCTGATCTAGCCTTCGAGACTCTACGGGCAGAAAACAAAACACCTGTTCCAACACCTGACCCTCTCCTTTCCTTCAGCAAAGCAACCTGACCTTCAGCTGAGTATAAAGATAAATGCTAAAACCCCTAAAGAGGAGGGAATAAATGAGTTTCTAATTCACATAAACATCCTCTTTTCAACAAAATTCCCCTTGTTCACTGTGTTATCAATGAAGCCAACTAGTTAAATTCATGTGCTCTTTCATTCATCACATAGTGCTGTTAGGGTCATTTGTCCTCATTACCTACTCCCATCCCTGAAATTCGAGCGGTAGTTAAATCACTGACTCACCCATTAAATGTTGGGAGTAGGGGGTGGGAACGACGCCATGGGGAGAAGCAACAACTAGACAACATCCTTCTTCTGAGCAATACAAGGCAACACATCAATATCAATGAGGTATCAGAATTTAGAGGCGGTGAGTAATTTGTCACAGAAGACCAGGGCTGCCTGAGACAAAGCAGCAAGACCTAGAGTTCACTTGGTCACTGACTCAAGCCCAGGGCTTGGCCCTCTACCCTGGCCCAGGATCTTTTCAAGTTCACTCCTTTCTTGCCCTAATGGGAGCTGAGAAAAGGAACAGATGAGACAAGAGATTTCTGATTAGGCAGCCTTTTCTTAGGAAAAGTGTAAACAAAAAGTGTAACTATACATTGAACCTAGAGGGTGAAAAATATAGCCAATGTCTCTTAAGCCTTTTCCTCCAATAGAAAAAAAATTTTAAATTATTTTATTGGGGGCTCGTACAATTCTTATCACAGTCCAGTGTGTCAAGCACATATGTACATTTGTTGCCCTCATCTTTCTCAAAACATTTGCCTTCTACTTTAGCCCTTAATATCAGTTGCTCATTTCCCCCCTCCCTCCCCCTCTCATGAACCCTTCATAATTCATAAATTATTATAGTTCTGTCATAAGTTACACTGTCCGACGTCTCCCTCCGCTCTCTTCTCTGCTGTCCATCCCCCAGGGAGGAGGCTATACTTAGATTCTAGTAATTGGTTCCCCCCTTCTACCCCACATTCCCAATAGAAAATTTATATACTGTATTCCCTTTGGAATTTACTTGCTTACTGAACTCCAATTGAGCAGCAGGTCAAGGTAGTTGCTTAGTAACTGCATTTCTTTCTTTTTAAAAAAATTCATTTTAAAAAACAGTCACCAA